CTGTTCGAGCTGAGTAAAAAACTGAATCCATATGTGCTTTAACAACTGCACTGCTTCTTAGTAAAAATGCAATGTTGTGAAAAAGTGTTTAAACGTGACACTTTTAATATACTTCATATGATTTCTATTTCTTTAGCATTCAGTATGTTAGAATAAAATACTTCGATTTCAAAAGAAAGATTATAGCAGAGTGATAAAGTCAAAAAGCACCATTGAGAGTGATACTTTTTCCCTTTGAATTCGAATATCAGGAAACGTAAATATTCGTCCTGGAGAGGCAGAGGTACAAGCCTCTTTTACCCCGTCTGTTATTAAAGTTTATTTTTGATTTTTAATCTGCATAGAGACGAGGACGCGTTCGCGTTAATGCTGAAGAGCTAGGGATAGAGTCCTGGAAAAGTGTAGGATAAAGAATCAAAATTTGTGATAACCGAATGCAATGAAATATAGATAAGAATATATAATTGAGTGGGGATATGATCCCATCTTAAAGAGAGATAGAAACACGGAGAATTATTAGAACAACTTGTGTGAGAATTATGGAATATGTTTATGGCAAAAAAAGAGATGTTAGCCGTTATATATATATATATATATATATTTGTGGGAAAGAGTATGCCCTGGGGGTGTTTGAGAGAAAGATAAAATTTGATTGCATTGTTCCTCATGTAATCATTTATGTATTCAATTTTCGAGTCTTTAAGTATGACAGAGTTCTTGATGACAAATTACAGATTTCCCCTATTGGGCGTAACTGTAGTTTTTGCAGTAGCTTTAGAGCACAGTTTAACAGTCTCTAAAAATTTGTAGAAAATATTTGACATTTCTTTATCTTGCACGAAAACCGAAAACTTGGTGTAATGTCTTGGTCGAAAATTTGGTTGCACGTTAGAGGAATCAGTATGAGCTGAGTTTTCGAAAGCTGGAATGTCCGAAATTTGAAATTCCTTTTGGAAAACCTGTACGCGAGAAGTCAGAGTTTCTGGGGTAGAACAGGTATTTAGTCGAAGTAACCAAATGGTTGGATGTGCGATTAATGCTGAGCTTGGCATCTCTCTGGAGCTTGCAGGTGCAGATGATCCCGAGAGTAGTAAAGACATACGGGCAGCATATAAGCATTCTGTACCGCGCCACGCACATGGGGAAAAATCCCTGCTTGTGATTGGATATGTCTTCCGATGACATCATTTCCTCTACGCTTAGGAACGCCTTGACTTTGTTTGGGCTCGAGGGTACACCTCCATACCGTTTGTTTGGTTCCAGACAAATTTGTCCAGACAAAAGCCCACTGGACGAAAGCGCACGCCACAAAAGCCAACGAAAAAAAGCTCACTATGATAATTGCCCACGCGACAAATGCCCACAGCGATGAAAGCGCACATAATCAAAAGGGACTTATGATTTTTTATTAGTAAATCGTGCATTTATAATTTTAATTATAATAAATGGAGTATTCAGATCTGAATTTTAATGTCTCAAATATGTCTGTTTCCATGTTTTATCACTACTTTATTTGTTTAATTTATTAGGTTAAAAGCAAACTTTCTGTTTTCACATCTTGTTTCTGTGACACCTTCACTGATATTTTTACCTCCAGGATGCCATATTTAAAGACAACTGGCAAAAAGCCTGCAAATTCACGCAGGCTAGACTCAGTTAAACAGCGGTAAATGGAATGGAATCTGATTGACAAGCTGTAACATTTCGATGACAAATCTGAAATTGCATTTTATTATTTATTTACTTATTTAACTTTGGTACGTGTAGGTGAAAATGCAAAATATCGTTATGAAGTTTCTCACATGCTATTTTTAAGGTAATATGGCTGAAATTAAATATAATTATGTTTCATTATTAAAACTATTAACTTTTTAATTAAAAACACTTGAATTTTATTTTCTTTCTTTTTAATTTTTCCTTTAGTTCTTTTTAGTTCCTTTTTAGTTTGGTAATATTAAAACAGTTAAGCACAATGAAAACTTCGCTAAGAGATATTTTATTCTTTACTTTAGACTGAGCTTATTATCAAAGTTTAAACATATTTATCATTGAAAGCTATTTTGAATGTAACAATTATAATTTGGCGATTTTCTAGAAATATTCTCTTTCAGATTTCTGAATAAATTAAAACTGTCATCTGACACCATGCCAGAAAATGAATTCCAAGTGTAACCTCTTAATCTTTCAACTACAGCAATTTTGAATAGTGTTTTTCATTTTCATTTTATTTATTTATTTTTTTTTGGGGGGGGGGGTGGAAAAACTCTTAGAAGTCAACATATCTACAAATTTAAATAGTAGAATCATCTCAATCTACAGTAATAAATATGTAGCATTTTATTAGAGTTTGAAAATTTTAAATCTGAAAAATTTAATAATGATCTGATTTATCTGAAAAATTTTACGAACAGTAATTATTATGATTGAAAATGAAATTTCAAGTAGGAATGAATTAATTTATGTGAAATCCAAGTTGTCAAATTAACTAGATTATTTGAAACGTGCTTTTAATTCACGAGAAAACAGTATTTGTGATGCGCACACGATGTTTTTTAATCATAAGAATACGGTACTTTTATCTTTCTCGTTAAAATAAAAGTTCGGCTTTAATTCTCCATATTAAATTCATTATGTGCAAAATTTTTTGCGGTGTTAAATTAGTCATAAATTATTCTCTGTATGTGAGGAAAATTTACATACATTTTTTACTCCTTGTAATTTTGTAGAATTAAAAAAAAGCAGTGTGGCTAGTATTCCCTTTCACCTCCCTTTGTCAGACTTATACGAAGGCACTTCCATTTATCGCGAAAATATAACAACAAAATTACACGTAAATGTATATGTTTATAATTCATTATTTTGATTGACTCTCTTAATTCAGCCGGAGCCCAAAATGAAATGTGTTCCTCTACTTAAATTTATTGTTCAATTATTTGTTATTAATTTAATTTAATTTTTATTTTATCTTTATTCATGAATCTACTTTGCGCAGCTGAAGAAAAAAGGGAAAAAATATTCATTTTAACGTAGCTTATATATCGGGGTGAGAGTTTTTGTCAGTGTGAGCTTTTGTCAGTGTGGGCTTTTATCAACGTGGGCTTATACCTGTGTGGGCTTTCATCAATTTGGGCTTTTAACAATGTGCGCTTTCATCGGTGTGGGTATTAGTCGCGTGGGCAATTATTCCAGTGGGGTGGTTTTTGTGCGCTTTTGTCGCGTGCGGTTTAGTCCAGTGGGCTTTTGTCTGGTCACCCGTTTGTTTACATTCTGATAGCATTTCTGAAAAGATTATTATGTGCATTGCATTTTTCTTGCTATGAGATTGCACTTCTTACAACACTGTAGTATGGTAAATTTTATGTAAAAACGTAGTGATTTTTTCCTCTTGCGAGGAAAAGTATTATTATTTCTTGTGCTAACTCCGTAAATGTGTATTAAGTGCAGAGATTTTTAATAAATATATTCTTAATTTAAAACCCTTCATATTAAAAGTGTTTTGATTAATTAGTTATTTTAGGTTCATTGTATATCCATTCTCTGCTGACGCAATCTTCGAAAGCATGAGACAACACAGTTTTCGGAAATAGCAAAAACGACGTGGGGAGCTAACATAGTACACAATAAATTCACAATATTTTATAATGTCTGAAAAAGTAAAATTTATGTTTGAAGTTAAGCTAATATAAATTTAGATCAGAGAAAGAGAGATACTATTTTAAATTGAATAACATTATGAATATTGCCCATTTTTTAACGCCTAACATCTTCTGTACCTTTGCATAAAGTGTTGTCAGAGAGGGAAGTTTCTTTTTTATACACGTGTATTAAATTCAGTGAGAGTACTGAATGCACTTTATTTTTCAATTAAGGCTACAGAATATTAGAATGACATGGACATTAACATGGAAATAACTTAATATTCGCAAAGGAAATATTTTCTTAAATATGAAAGAAATAGAATGCAACAAAATTGCAATAATAATAATATACTTATTACCACATAATGCTTTTACACCTGGATCAAGATCGTCGTGTTTTAGTTTTTGCACTAAGTACATGAACTCAGCTATTTATGTAATCTAAGCTTTTAAGATTGTTTCTGATATTAACAGTATTTTTGAAAGATATTATAATTTTGTTATTCCTTGAAACAGGAAGCCATATGCAGAACGCTGCAACTAAATGTTTTCGTCTGAAAGGAAACAAACTATAACTTCCACGCTTCCGTGTCACTCAGGCGCGTGTTTCAACGACAACAAAACGGTAAGAATCCAGAGTAAACATCATTACACCAAGAGAAAATGATGTCATCTAAAAGTATGTCCAATCACAAGTACGGATTTTTTCCTGCGTGCATGGCGCGGTACAGAATGCTTATATGAATGCTAATACGGGCAGACTGCTGCATCCGGTTTGTACATGTCTGAAGCGTTGACATTTGTAATAGATTTTTGAAAATTTATGTGGTCTGTACTTTTTAACTCTGACAGTAAATGACGAAAGATATCTTTCTTAATAGATTTGGTTGCTTTTTCGCAGCGTTTAAGTTCTAGGAAGAAAACTGGAAGGTTAATTTTTCTACTGGTTGTCTTCCTGGACAGTTGATTTAACATAATGAAAAACATGATAAATTTGGCTTTAGTTGTTTATATAGTTGCACGTTAGACGAGATATTCTCTGTTATATTTAATATTTCACGTTTTGCGAATATTTGAAATATATTATAAAATATCGTAACTCTGATTGATTGATTTTTGGATTTAGTGAAATTAGCTTCAAATAATTTAAATTTATTTTGCATAAAAATTCGATACGGCATTTTAATCTTCGATTTTTTCCTCTTAAGTTTTTTATAGTAATTAATATTAAAAAAATTACTTGTTTTGTGTAAAGCAATTTAAGTATGTTATAATATGCTGCATTTATACATGATTAACCTCCGTAAGATTATCTGCGAAGAAAGGGTGCATCTCAACTTGAAATTTTGTACATTCGTGCTTCAAATAAGTATTCAAAATATTATGCTATTTTATACAGAATTTGTAATACAGACTGTTATACATAGTGATTGCACTGAAGTGGATTATTTTAACAATAAAATGATAATGTGACTCTTGGAAAATGGTAAGTTGATAAAACAGATAATTTCCCCTTAATCTTCCCTTGCCTTATCATTATCCATGATTTGCATCCATCCAGTGAACAAAATATCTGCGACTGCCATACAAAATTCACATCTCATCAGTAGTCAAAGTATATTTCAAAATTTCTTGTATCTCCCCACATCTTATGTTTACCTGTTTAGAAAAGAACATCGCGTACTCTTTATTAAAAAACTTAACTATCAGCAACATTCATCTATTTCTTCTGTTAATATGCAGGATATCAGCGAGTTAGATCTATGCAAGCACGGCAAGAAAAACCACAGCGAAGTGAGACATGATGAAGTATATCATCTATATTCTTGTTTCATGCGGTTATTAATAAATGCCTGAGCGGTGGGGGTTGCAGATCCTAACCAAAGAATAAAAAGGAAGTTTTAAAGTGCGATTTAAATAGTTAAGCTTAATCATCTTGTAAGATATTCTGTACATCAATGGTAACCAACCTCATTTTCTTTTATATACCCCTTATTAAAACTTTGTAATTATAAAGTATCATAGCTCTTTCTACGTAGTCTATGACCGCTTCGCCGTTCCAGCATTTCTGGAAGAAAATTACTGCTGTATTATTTTAATATTATAAAATTTATAAACTGTAATGAATTAGGTTATAAAAGGTATAATCAAAGATTGATCTCTACATTATTTGTTTCATAATAACATAGTGATAAAATGTATTTTTACGTCAAACTATAACACTATCGATGAGCAGTAACTATTTTCTGTATCAGCATTTGTTAAAAGGAAATGAGAAAATGAGTGAATTTATTAGCTATTAAATAGGTCTAAACCTTAACTGGTTTAGACCTATTTAATAGGTAATAAATTCACTCGTTTTGGAAATCTTAAGCATTCTTGAAATAGTGTTGTAACACAGTAGACTATTAAACCTATAATAAATTTAAAGCAAATTAAAGATAATTTCTGTAGGTAATTTCTTCCTCCTTTACGCGAGCCTTCGTGGTTTAATTGGAAGCGCATTCGTGAGCTCAGAGTTCTAATCCAGGCGAGGTCACAGCATATTTTTCACGTTTCAGGATCGATATAACCTAATGACCGTACAAGTGCCGCCCGAACTGAAAGGTGGTGGACGATAATCCATAACCACCGGAATTTGGCGATTGGATTCCCTCATCACCAGGCGCCCTTTAAAATGGGAGGAGTATATAAGGTAGCGCCTCCCTCCTTATCGCATGTCTTCATGGTGCAACTGGAAGCGTATTCGACAGGTTCAGGGCACGAGTCCCCGGCGGCGTAATGGCAAACCGCGTATTGAGTTGATCAATGCTAAATGAATTTCGCTTACTGCGCATGCTCAGAATAGAATTTGGCGCAACTACAACTATTTTAAAAGAAGATAAATATGGTATATGGTGTGTTTTCTGGGCGTAAGCGTTCAGGTTTTAATACTTTTAGGCTGTAAGTTGCTCATTATTTAGAGAGTAACTATCGATTGTAAACTACGCAAATTTTTATTTAAGAAGGATAACAAACAGGAAACATTCAGATATATTAGCTGAATGCTTATTGATTATACTTCTAAGGAATAAAGCAGTTGAGTATTTACCGTACGTTTCATTCGTATATACTTTATCAAATTAAGGAATAAATTCAGTTCAAATTTCTGAATTAATTTAAATTGCTCAAGTCAAATAGCTGATATTAATTGTAATATTTATGAACAAAATAAGCCAAAATTAAATGAAACAGAAGCACATCAATAAGCACACAACAGATTTCTATAGTAATGCAATTGTAAAAAAAAAAAGGTACCCCCCCCCCAACACGACTGACAAACAGCCTTGTGTTGGGTTTCTTATCCTTATTCGCCAGGATTTCCTCTCACGCCAGCGGATACTATTGAGCATGGCGCAGTAAGCAAAATTCGGTTACATTGATCAATTCAATGTGCGGTTTGCCATTACGCGTCCCGACGAGGGCATTGCACGTTTTTCACGTCTCCTGCCTCGCCACCCCAACCCCCCAAAAAACTAATGACTCTACATTTCGTTCACGCTAAACTTAAGACTAAGTCTTGATTTGTAAGAAAACTTAAGCGGCAATTATACTTGAACACAAAATGACTAATACTATATTGTGTATATAAGAATCAACAAAGAAACGGTTAAAAACAGCCTTACTAAGGTAACCTTCCATTTCTGTTCGAGTCTCACGATTGAGTTCGCTTCGCTGAGTTTGAAGTCAGAATCGAATTTCGAAAGATTAACTTTTAGCTCAGGAGCAGCGTCTTGTTTATTACGGTAACTGTTTTAAGTAAAAAATCATTGTAACGCCTTGTGTTATGTTTTCTTCTCTTGTTGAAGTCCAAGAGAAAGGAATATGCTGTTTTTTAAAGACGGCGTTCAAGGGCGAACTAGTCAAAACTATTTCAAGTATAAAATGTAAAATTGTTTTCCCTTTTATTTAATCAAAAATGTAAACTTTCTAAATATTTTGCTCTGTTTTCCCTAATGCTGATAGTATTTTAGCATACCTCTAGTTAAATCGTCACGTTACCTCAGGGATACGCGTACTGGCTGGAAATCGCTGCTGTTCAAGAATCTTGGTTTAAAAGAAAATAAAAGTTTTGGCGCTTTTCCGTAAGTAGCACTACTTTAAAAAGCTCTGAAACCAAACTGGGAATCATCGCCAACTGTTGTTGCAGTTAAAAAGGAAAAGTTGCTGAAAGCCGTTTGAAAGATTTATTATATGATTCGATAGCTGTAAGATTTTCCTTCTTGACCTTTAATGTGTTCGAACAGGTCAAACAGAATAAACACCCTAATATCTGTATGAACAGCGTTAAAGTACTCTCAAAGGAAATGGAACACCATGGAAGAACGTTTAAATATCACAAAACGTGGTATACAGATAGAGAAAATCTTCCTAGGCGGGTAAGTAGGGGGGGAAGAGATTTTCAGTTACTTAAATTTGCCGAGTACCTGAATCTGCTGTTGTTGAGACCTATTTCACTTGTCTAACAGTAACATCAGAACAAGTCCACGAAATTCATCGTAGCAAAGAGAGCAAGATTGCGCCTGTCGTAGGCAAGAGCTTTGAGCACCATACAGGAGATAGTACGACTTCGCTCAGTTCCGCCCCCAATTTTGATGGAGAGCTCCTCGGGGAGACGTTTCCAAGGGTCTCCCACCCCTCTTTCCTTATCACCAACCTCTCGAGAGGACTTTCGGCTCGATATATATTTAGAGTACCCCATGCAGCAAAGCCACTATACATTAGAAACGTCAGTGTCTTCTCCAGGATTCGAACTTGGGCCCTTCGGTACCACAGTAGGCTCTCCTAACCACTATGCCGTCTGAGCGGCTGTGGCTGAATCTACAAAGTGCTGGAGTAAAATATGTATCGTTTTAGGTAATAGGTAGAATCGTTAACTTGGCATGCCTCTTATTCTGTGCTGAAATTCAGTACATTTTGACCAAATTGCCCACTTCATCTTCATTGTGAGGCGAAGTACAGCATTCCTTTGATAATCAGTTATGTTTCATAGACCTTTGAATTAGAGAGAAAGGTAGTGATCGGGCTGGCCAAGGAATCATATAACCATTTTTCAGAGCGTGCTTGCTATTATTAGCTGCGTGTGCTGGGTATCATTAGTGTGAAAAATACCATTTAGTACAGCCGGAACACACGATAGTTAAGTGATTTCTAGCTGTTTATCAGCATAAGGAAATAGCGTCATGGTATGAAAAATATTACTTTTAACGTAATGACGATGGGTTGACGAAGAACTACATTTCGTTGCACCGTTGTTAGTAAACTGCAGGAGATGATCAGCCGTTCTTAAGCTCCTTATACTGAAGAAATTCCACAGAAAATTTTATTTCAGTTGGTAACGAAACAGAAAATTAATTACATTTTTATAGAAAATTCACTTTTTAAACCTACCGATTTTGAGTAGTACTGTATTTAAATATTAAGCCTTCTCTAGTGCAGTTATTTCAAACTCACTATTCATGCAAGTTTTAAAGTTAAAGTTTAGGCTAAATGTCTGGCGTCTAATTTTAAGTATTTAATCAAAATTGCTGTAAAGGAAAAATCTTCAAGCAAATGAGAATACCTGCGAATGAGAATCATTACTAGTATTTATTTTTAAATTATAATTTAATAGAATTAAAATTGATTTGCCACTTATAACTATTTATTAGGCTGTTCTGTGTTTTAGAGAAAGTATTTCCAAAATCAAACGTTAATTTTTTATTGTTGTTTAGAGATAATTATATTGTTATGTATAAGGTTTGAATCTGCAAGTATGCAAAATATTTCATTATGTGGAAACAAATCCCCGATATATGAACCCATAGCGGCCTATCCGCTCAAAGATTCAAATTGAAATTTCAGATATTGGTATTTGAATGTAAGCCTTCGAGATGATGATAATTTTAAATAATAGAGCTCTCATGATTATAGTTACAGTGGAAACATTTCAAAATTTTCGAATGTTAAAATCCACTTTTTCTGCACAAACTGATCAGCGCATTGGAAGGCCAGAAATGGCGTTGGAACGATACACGCATGACAAAAATTGGCGGCGTGAAACATTTGCAAAGAATTAAAAAGGACCAATGACAGCACAAGGAGAGAGAGAGAGAAAAAAAACTTCTATTGGAATTTTTACGTTTTCAACGTGCCTGCCTTCGCAAACGATAACGCTTGAAGTTTCGTGGCCACCGCGATCCTGAACTCACGCTGATAGATTACTGGTTCTGGTATTATCTGAAATCCAAGGTTTCTATATCAAATCCACGAGATTTGTCAGAATTGAAATATGCCATCTGCGAAGGTGAGCACGATAAAAACATGTAATTCCAATAAAAGTTTTTTACCCTCTCATGTGCCGTCATTAGTCCTTTACAGTACTGTTCTTTGCAAATGTCTTACGCTGTGGCAGTTTTCTTCATACCTGTAACATTCCAACGCCGTTTATGGTTTTTCAATTGCGCTGATCAATTTGCACAGGGAAAAGTGGGTACTGTCATTCTAAAGTAGTTTCAAACTTTTTTATCGTAATCGTGAGAACTCTGTTGTTTTAAATCACTAAAATCTGGAGTGCATACTTTCGAATAACAGCATCTGACATTTCATTGCGTTTGGCTGAGCGAATAGACCGCTACAGTTCTTATATCGGAAGGCTTTTCTTTATGATCACCCTATATTTGTTTTTAATTTGATAACTATTTTTGATTCCTATCTGCGTGCAAAATAATAATGATTAATATTGTCACGTTTAGGTATCGATGAATTTGATCTGGTAATATTATGTTCGTAAGAAAAGTCCTTGACTGGCTTTTGCCTCAGAGCGAAGATGAGGATGATTTTGAAACTGAAAGTGTAGAAGTTACGTCTTATTACGAAGCGTTGAAAAGTCCTGATAAAACGGCACATGCAGACGAGGAAGACATCGCCAGCTTGTCCAGTCTGGATGCAAAAACAAGTGTGCTAAATTTTGCTTTAGTTCCGGATATAAGTCCTACTGAATATGACGAGAATAACAGCGGAAAGCAGGATAAGATAGAAACTTATTCAGTTGAAGAAATTCGGACAGGAGAGAAAGGATTGTTATGTTTAACATATACTGAAAATGAAGAGACTCGTCCATCTGAGCTCTCGCTCTCCATATCAGCTATAAATGTAAGTAATGCAAAGGAGAACACTCAAGATTCAAATACATCTTTTAAGAATACTTCCGTGGTTGATATTTCATCTGTAGACGATTCTGAACCATCGCATTTGTGCAAGAAGGCTGCAGAATATGCCTGTTGTAATGTTTTAGAAGAAAAAAAGCCTACTAAAGATATATACACCCAGACTGAACCCAGATTAGATAAACGGCGTTTTGGTCTCAGTCGAAGATCTGTGATAAAATGTTCTGCTGAGCGAGAGTGTGAGTCATTGTATAATAAGAAACAGCGTCCATATTCTGTGCAAGCTGCATCGTCATGTGATGGATACTCTTTTCCGTTAAAAGAATTCACCATGAGAAAAAATACATATTCTGGTGATACGGTGTACGGTGAGCTTCTTGTTTTAGGTTGTAATGGAGCCGTACCTAATCATCTTGTGGGTCATATGGAAAGCAAGTTCGTTTTGCATAAGAGACTTTCTGCTAATGGACTGAAAGAAGCATCATCTTTCATAAGTAATCAGAAATATCCAAATGAACGTAGTCCTGTCAGACATGCAATTTCATATTCAATATCTGAAAATAGATATGTGGTTGTCGAATACAGCGCTGACAAGCAAACAGACATGTTCCAGATTGGACGTTATGATAAACATCCTGTAGATTTCCGAGTTTTAGATATTAATGAAAGTGATAGAGCTAGAAACGGAGTGTCCCGATTTGCATGTCGTATTGTGATAAAGAGATATGGAAATCATGAAGCTAGAGTATATGCAGCAGCATTTGATGCTACCGGAGGTATATTTCTTGGTGAAAATGCACTTCTGTGTGGTAATGAAAAAACGATGGATGGTTTTACAACCAATGGTGTTCTGATTATGCATCCTAAGGAAGGGTTTTCCAGCTCGGGTGTTTGGAGAGAAGTTTCCGTTTGTGGACATATCTATGCAATTGTAAATTGTAGATTTGATGGCGCAAAGCGGTCTCGGATTCTTGAGGAGTCTAATGTTTTAAAAGATGGAACTTTAATCGATCTCTGTGGTGTGACTTTGCTTTGGCGCACACCCGAAGGCCTTAAGAGTACTCCAAGTACAGAATCTTTAGAAAATTTTGAATCTAATATCCAGAAGTCAGCTTTAGAATGTTACTTTCTTTCTAAGTTACCGGATCGAAAACTAAAGGTGGGAACTGCTGTAAAACAGGCTTTTATTTTTTTATCATGCGGCCATGTTGTAGGACTTCATTTTGATGAAATACCTTACAATTTAGAAAGCTGGTCATGTCCAGTTTGTTGTTGTATAAGCCCTATTAGTAAGCTGGAAGTGGGCAGAGAACCAGGTTTTTACATCGATCGGAAATCTCTTACTCATGCTTTCAGGCCATGCGGCCATGTCGTGACAGATGCGACAGTCCGTTATTGGTCATCTATAAAAATTCCCGACCGCAGGATTATTCAAGATGGCTTATGTCCATTCTGTGGAAAGAAGCTGAATTATGTTAGTAAATATATAGAATTAATATTCCCAACAAAAGAAATGTTGCCACTCGATTCACGTCTCTGTCTTAGGTGACCACTCTGATTTGTCGAATTCACGTTAATTTTATGTAGCTTTGTGTTTTACAGTGCTCATCAATTAGTTCTGAGCCACGAAGTTTCAATCACAGTTTCTGAATGATTATTTAAAAAAATATTTTCTGTAATTTCCCCCATCTTTTATCCAGAAAGACTTTACATGTGTTTTGTTTTGCTATACCAGTGCATTGGATATATCAGATCTAAACAAACACTATAATAAAAGAATTGTGAAATTTTTGTTAGTGCTATTATTTGTGTCGCGCATTGTCTGCGAATTATTTAGTAGTTATTTTATTTTCATCAAGAAACGGTGCCAAGCTGAATATATCAGAGCTTGGAGAAATTGACTTGTTATATTGAAGACCCTTAATTTCAGGTGTGAAGAAATCCATCTGGGCTTTACAAACACAAAAAATTTCAGTGTCCTGAATTTCAGAAGCACTTAATGCTCCACTATTAGCAGGCAGTTTTCTTGCCTTAGCAATGAAACGTCTAATCCATGCCATAATTCTGAGATATTTCAGCACATTACTGAAATTTGTTATATCCAATAAATGATCATCTCTTTTCACAACAATGTCATAAACAGATATTCTACTATAAAGTTCTAGTTGTTTATCGTTTCCCACGTCAAACTTCGGTTGAACTGGCCAGTCTATACATTTGTTTTGTAACCATTCTGGTCCAAACCACTAAAGTGAACAATTTCTTAAATTAGCAACAGTATTTCCTCGTGATATGAGGTCGGAGGGGTTATCTTTCCCACAGCAATAATGCCAGTTATTGCTTTTAGTTAGTTTCTGAATTTGGTGAAAATGATCTACATCCTCAACTATGGCGAGGAAGTCTTTACTGGTGACACGTTTCAATTCCTCTGCATTCTAGATAGACATTTCATCCATGATGCTACTAGTCGTTCAAACCGTTTATTACTTGGGATATAACAGCACCGACGCTATCATTGTTCGCATCTGTGTCAAGAATAAATGGTTTGTCAAACTGAGGATTGTCGCAGATTTTAAAGGCTCAGTTTGTAAAATGCGTCCTTATATTCTTTTGTCCCCCAGGACGTTTGCTTGCTCTCTGTTAATTTGTGAAGGTGGTCTTGCGATGGAAGAAAATCTCGTCACAAATATTGCATAGTAGGTGCACAACCCCAGAACACTTCTCAGCTGATAGACACTTTCCCCATTCTTTAATTACCGACACTTTCTCTGGATCCGCACACAGAGCTTCGGCAGAAAGGATGTGTCCAAAGTTACTTCATATCTGAACAATTTATATTTGGTAGGACTAAACCTTAGATTGGTTTTTTTCGATTTCAGAAGCAGTTTCGTGATACTTTCTAAAGGCTCTTCTAAATATTTCCTGATGATGTCATTCAGATATATAAGATAGGTTTCGTAGGAAAGACCTTTTATCACGGTCTATATGAAGCGTTCAGATGTTGCTCGAAACTGCATAATCCAAACGGCATCCCCTTTAACTGCAAAAGTCCTGTAGTAATTGCCGTCTTTTTAGTCTTCACGATGTATTTCTACCTGCCAGTATCCACTCTTTAAATCAAGCGTCGAAAATCACTTGCTTTCAGAAAAAGTGTCCAGAATGTCACCAATTTTAGCAAGAGGGTGAGTGTCTTCGTGACGTCATTCAGCCGGCGATAGTCAGCCCAAAATCTAGTTGGACCAACTTTCTCTCTCACGAGAACCATGTGAGAGGCTCTAGGACGTGCTAGAGGCTCGACAACGTCATTTTCTTTCATATTCTTGTTCCTGTGTAGCAGTCGAGAGACGTCTTGATTATTACTTGTTGGCGGATGATCCGATGCATCGATTTTACGCTGTACCAGATTGGTTCGATCTATACCAGAAGTGCGGGAAAAAACAACTTGAAATTCCCGAATAAAACGTTCAGCAGCACTCCTGTCTTCATTGCTTAGTTGCAGTAAGTTTGATGGTAGGCTGTCGGAAGATACAGCGACTGTTTGTTAACAGAGAATACTTGAGTACGTGTTGCAACCGCTTCGCTTTTCCTAATGACTTTTGTCTTGTCACCTACCTTGTCACAGGGATGACGGTACTTGGGAATTCGACGAGTGTTGACGCTACTAGTACTCCTTTCAGGCTGTTACAGTTCTTAGGTTATTTCATTATGCCGTACCGCAAAGTTCTGTTTTATGCAAGAGCTATGGATGCAGGTAGTAAATATCTTATTCTTGTTGGTACTGTGATATCGTCTTGAGCTTTTATTTGGTGGATGGATTTAATCCTTTATCTTTGATTCTGGAAAGGGGAATGCCTTCAGAGGCAGAATGCAGTTATTTATTTTTAAAATTGAAGAAAAAATTATGTTTCCTTTAAAGTCTAATCGGAGTATGCGAGAGTCTGTCATATCTGTCGCATATGCCGTTGTGATGGCAAGCGGCATTTCTAAATATTGTGTTGAAGTGTAACTTTCCATCGATGCCAATTTTATCACCGGATACAGTCTGGAGAATAATGCATAATGACGTACAGATGTGTTTACATTCTGCTCCTTGAGTTTATTACTTTCCAGTTTTTGAGCAACATCCAAAAAGATCCGACCATCCTTTGTGAATGGTCAGCCGACCATCCTTTGTCGATGATCATATTCCAGGGAACTCTGGTTATATGTTCCATGATGAAGATTCCATCACTTCCGCATTCATTGTAGAAATCTGAAGCATTTTAAAATGAGGCTTATCAATATCTGAAAAACCTCCGTCCGACGATATGGCTGCGAATCTTTTCCCCGCTTCCTTATTGGCGAGTGGTCTTTGCTCCCGTGCCTTGGGGTGTTCCGCATTTTCTTTTCATATGGCCTTCACCACCGCAATTCCAGGTTTGTTGCCATTCATATTTCGTTTTAAGGCATTGAATTGCCTGGCTATATTCGTCTAGTCGAGCAGTCGCTTAATCCACTTGTTCTTGGACTTTAGCAGCTCTGATTGGGTGGCGGTCTGTACGAGTTGCTTGCTGGACTTCCCCGAATTTCGTGGCGTATATTAAAACACTTTTAGATCTGCCACATCCGCCATTTAGAGGGCTGTCTGTATCTCAGGATCGCGGATGTCATCGATGAAGGACTTTAGGAGACAGGATTTCTCTTATTTCTGTTGGAGAGTCCGGAAAGGCGAGATAAGACAGCCTTCTCCATCCGTGGCGAGCTTCTGGAGTATTTCCATTAGCTTCTGTTGGGCAGATTTTAATTGAAGCTTTTTAGACAATTTAACATTTCTCGCGAAAGCGCAACTCCAGCCCGCCGGCTAGAGCGTCAAATTAGAGGCTCTGGTTTTAGGGCAGAGTTAAGAACATCCACTGCGTCTGCTCTCAGAGAAGGGGTAAGATTCTAGGCTTTGGATTCAGAACCCCATCTATTTTCATTTGTCACTGTAGAGAAGTTAGTGTTTACACTGGCCAGGTGGTCTTTCCGTCTTACATGAGGGTGTTACGTTACGTTAGCTTTAGAGAGGGTCGAGAAGATGTAGGTACGAATTTTTATAAAGACGTTGATATTGTGTCAAGCTTACCAACGTGTGGATAACGGGCTGGATTTCTTCAAGCTGTCAACGTTATTGGCGACAGCAGCTGAAACTCTGTCAACGATATGTTGTTCGACAGTAGAAACTGTTTCTTGGATTTGTGTTCAACAGCAGAAGCGTTTTCTTAAATTTCTTCAACTATATTTTCTACATCTATTCTGCCCTGTATAGCCTCAAACTTGTTTTCTATTTATGTCAAAAATTTCCTTTTTTTTTCTTTTCTCTTGATTAGCCTTAGTCCGCTTCCATGTTTTCTTGGAATGAAGCAAAAGCTGTCACCAGCTGTCTTTGTTTCTCACCATCGCTTTTTTCACCAGCATTCAGTCACACCAAAAATTGTTACATGGGTACGGGTTTGTAATGGATTGAATGTGCATCGAACCGATAGCAGCTTGATGAAATTTTTTTCCCCAAACACTTTACAGTTCTGGAACTTTACACACAAAAGTGCTCGTGCTTTTTAATACGACACAGCACAATTTGTAGTTACAACTTCAAATTGCTAAGAATGTGAATACAAGACAATGCAAAGAAGTGCGTAAGCTCGCAGAGTGATCTCTCAATACTCTCAATCGCCAAACTCTGAACTCAGCCCTGAAAGAAACTTATGCTCTCCCCAGGCTTCGAAAGCTTTCCTCCGTCCGCAGAGAAATTTCCAGTTCCTTCGCTATCTCGAAATTGCTGGAAAGCATATGTAGTTGCAGTTACATAGGGATCGGATCAAGTACAGTTGTACAAGGATCGTACCAAAAAGGTCGCTAAATGGTCACCGAGTTTGGCGAGTTTTGGCGATTTCTTGCGAAACTTGGGTTCCAAAGTTAGTCTCCAAAGCTCTCTGACGAGATTGCCATTTACCTGAATGTTAAATGGACTTATCACTGTAACACTGTTTTTCCAACGGTAATTTGCACTCTAAGGCCTTTCATGTTTCATTAGACAACAGATGCTACAGTTTGCATGTAATTTTACATATATACAAAATTCACAAGCTTATTAATTAACCATCTAATTACAAGGAGTCTTACAGTTGTGTGTTGATTCTTTAAAAGTAATGTAGTAACTAAATGAAATATAATTTTTCCAAGAGTTTTTGATTTTAGGATATGGAATGAATTTTTTTCTTATAATGACCATACATTCTTATAATTCTTATAATTACCATACATTCTTATAGGAAGTTAAAAGAAAAGAAAAGAAAAAAAAAACGACACGAGAGGAAAATGTGTTTATGTACAAAATCAACGCAAAGTGTTTCTTTGCAGCAATACAGTATTCACAATAAATGTTCAAAAAAGGGAACACTAACAGTAATAGGAACTACAGCTGTGAGTGGCTGGTAATGCAGCTGTAGAGGGCGGTAATGAGGCGGACAAACCATGATCCGATGCATCAGAGGATCATTCGCAACTCTGATTTCGAGCATGATGGGCGAGTTTACGCACAGGGAATAAGCTGACATGCATCTCATGTATGGTGCTGCTAATGGTAACTGCAGAGCTGTGCTACGGTTGTACTAGGAACGGTTTCCGAACAGGCGTATGCCGAAGCACACAATGTTCGAGCGGTTGCATCGGTCTCTTGAGTGAAAATGGGTCATTTGAAGCCACCTCTGACATTAGGAGTGGAAGAAGTGCACAACAACCTCGCATTGAAGAATCCATCTTTAATG